TTTGCCCCCCCCCCCCTCCCTCCTCCTACACCCAGGACACAAAGTGCTGAGCTCCAACGCCAGCTCGCCCTGGCCCATGATCACATCCGCCAGCTCCAAGGAGGTTAACCCCTGCCTCCCCCACCTTGCGACACAACCAGTTGCGCCTTTCATCTACCGACAACATCAGACACAGGCCACTGCGATGCATTTCACTTTTCCATCACCGGCCACCGATGTGTCAGGGACCTTTGGCCCAACTCCCTGCTCTTTCTAGTTCTCTTGCTGGTGCCACTACGTCCTCTGTCCTCTTGTCACAGTCAGCTCTTCCTCTCCCTACCCATTATCAGTGGTCGATGTATGTTCCACAGTACCGACCGGATCGCCTCCCGCAGTTTGACGGCAGCGCCTCCGAGCTCCAAGGATGGTTCTCTACTGCTGAGGAGCAGCTTCGCTACCATGGTGTCGCCATGGAAGTGTAACCTGTCGAGATATCCTCTCGTTTCACAGGTCGTGCAGTCTCCACCTGGCGCGACTTCCTCGCCCTTCGCTCACAGCGCGGCATACATGAGGGCTTGTCTTATCCTGAGTTTCGCGACTTCCTTCAACAGTACTTTTCTCACCCTGCGCCAACCCGCAACCCGTTTACCCGTGTGGCGGAGATCAGATGGCTTGGTGGCGACAATGCCCTAGAGTCATACATCACGGCATTTCACCGTGTACGCGCTCAGATTCCTGTCGCAGCCATACCCGAGGACACCATGATCCAACGATTCTGCGCAGGTCTACCACAACTATTCCAGTTGCAGATGATGGCATATTCGATCCCCACCTTACCAGAGGCTTTCAACATTGCTAGGGCCATTCATCTCACTTACGCTTCACTCGTCGGCCCCTCGCCTCAGCCCGCCGCTGCCCATTCTGCTACTACTGCAGCCCCTCGCCCCCCCCAGCCGCGACAGTCTTCCACATACCGTCGTGGCCCTCGTAGAGGGTCTGGACGATCTGTATCTCGTCACTTGCATGCCCTGCTTCGTGATCCGTCGAGCGTTGATGACGGCACCGCCTCAGATAGTTATGCGAGTGACCCAGACCGGGACCCGACCCTCAGTCCCCCGCAGAGGACGACGCCTCTTCCGAGGACGACCGCCACGTCCAGGCCCTTTTCTCCCTCCTCCGTCGTCAGCCCTCATCCTCCACGACTCGCTCTACAGTCCCTCAACTATCCCTCTCAGCGGGCTTTGTGTTCCCTTGCACCCGCTTGACCATTGCTAAGAGTGAGGACCTTCGTACATGAGGCATCTGCACCCGTTGCCGCCTCGCCGGCCATACCTCCTCTACGTGTCTATACACAAACGCCCTCCAGAGTCACATCGCACAGCAGGCTTGCCCTCAGGCTGTTCCCCCCGTCTCGACCTCCAGCGCAGCACCCACGTAGCCGCGATGTCTCATTCCCCAGACCCTCCTGCGGTAGCAGGCATACCCGTTCACAACTCTACCTTTGCGCCGCTTGCTACTCTTCTTGACGACTTTGGCCCGACCTTATCTTTGCCTCACACTGCCGACCCTGGTATACCTTCTCCTTCTTCGCCTAACGTCTCTCGTGACCCCCCTCCTCCACGTCCTCCTACGAGGTATGCTCTTCGCACGGCCCGCTGCAGTGCTTCCCTTATTGCAATTGAGGATATCATCGACTTCGTGGACCTCGAGTGTGTTAAGGTCCGTCAAAAACGTATCCGCCTTAAAGAGCGCACACTGTCCGCGATGTCTCAGCGCCTATACAATCCCGATCGCACCTTACAGATTATTCCGGTGCACCTCGGGACCTCTACTAGAGTGCATCGCGCACTGTGGGACTTTGCCTCTATTGGCGACTTCATTCATCCTCGCGTAGTTAAGGAAGCATCTCTCTATGCGTCCCCCTACCCTTCCACTGTCACTGTCACGCTTGGCGACAATCAGGCCAAATCCTTCGTCGACTGTGTGTTGCCTGATCTTCCGTTTTCTTTCCCCTTGCGGATGCCCCGCAGCCTTCGCAAGGCCCCTCGGTTCCATGACCAGTGGACCTTCGACGTCATGGAAACCCTATACGATCTTGTTCTCGGCACTGCCTACTCCCATCAGTTCGCCCATGTCGTCCCTGATTGGACCCACAACGATCTCGTCCTCGACGCCAAGGATGAGAAGCAATACCATTTTCCATTGTTGGGCAAATCGGACTCTACACTTCCCCCCCCTGTTAATGCCACCATTTGTACACCTACCCAGTTCCACCACTTCCTTCGTCAGCCTGATCTAGAACTTTATGTTGTCGACATCACGGATCTCCTTACCTGCGACTCCATGCATCAGGACGTTGAGTTGGTTGAGCTCGATCCACCACCTCCCGAGCCCCCCGACCCTCCTGATTCCTCAACTTCCTTACCCTCCTCTACCCCTGCTAGCC